TGGGCGGCCATCTTGTTTGGCTTAGCAATGCATTCATGTTCAAGTCCCAAACAAAACCAATCCCCTACCTACATGCATACATAATTCAAGTATACTCTTCAAATAAAGGACGCATCCCACGATGCTCACACAACCTATCCACCCATTTTTACCCTACCATAAGACAGAATTCAGACATCAATCAACCTATAAGCTGCATGTGCGGCCAAACCCCTTTTACATTTACTTGAAGACAGAGCCAAGCTCAAGCGTTGCCCTCCTGCACCTTCAATAACAAACTGTCGTTTACAACGAAATACCTTTAACTGACACATGCTTTCCGGTGATTGTTAGTTTCGAACAGCATCGTTCATTTAATGTATAAGTGCAATACGATTTGACACGATGGGAAATCACGGAAAAAACGCCAAAATGTCGGAACACGAGGCAGTGTAAGCCTCAGGTAATATACCATCGATGGTTGATATCTCAGCCCATATATGTTATTTCTAACGACAATTCCTCAACTATTGCTATTGGTGTATTCAAATCTAACAAATAGTTAGACCTCAATGTAATAAAATGGGAGATACGCTTACATCTTCAGGACAACCTCTGACAGGCGTTGATCACCTATTTATATTTATTATACGTACATCCGAGACTTTAATGATAATTGCAGAAATACCATGCAGAAAGTAACAGTTGGTTATAAATATAATTGTTACGTTTTGATAAGCAGTTCCTCACACATCTGATGCTTCATTTTGTTTTTACTTGCTGACAGTCTATTTTCAAGACATATTTAATGTACCATACACCTATCATCCAAGCAGTTAGTCGGTTGCAGCAGAGATTAGTCATCATAGATTTAAAAAAAGACTTACCCATAATATTCTATCCCTTATTAAATGTATCCATCAGTCAGGGCTATGAGTCACTATATGTGTTAATTTATTGATTCATACCATTTCAGGGATCAAAATAGTGCTGAATTTGCGTGCCATGAAATATTTTCATAAAAATTATGAACATAATACACACCATGATTCATTTATTGGAAACTATAAATAACTTAAATGACTCAAAAGCTATTTTTGCACCTCATCAAACTGTTTGTCTTTGGCATTCTTAATCTCACAGCTTAACATGGGTGTGGCCATTATGAATACCAGTGAGTATAACAGGAAAGCCGTTTTGGTGATAGCCAAGTCGTGGGGTAGTTTATGGGTCCGGGACAAATGAAGCTGAACTATTCTTCCAGTCATGACAGAGTTCAGGAAATCCTGCACTCACGTTTACAGGATTGTCTAACGCTTAGTCTCTGAATATATATAATTTTGATGGTAACAAATAATCCCAATTTTCATATTCGGCCCCAGTAAGATGTGAGAACCAGAACCTGAGGGAGTCCATATTTGCTTCATTAAGGGATTTATCATTACAGAAAGTACTTGGCAGAACGGGGACTAATGTGGTTCTTGGACTGTGAGACATACTAGTTTACAGTTTTACATGATGTGTACTGACTTATCACCACTACAGTGAAATGACATAATTGTTGTGATGTTTTAAGTTTAACTGGATCATCAACAGGCATGGACACGCTTAGTTTTACAAAGGTATACATACCTTTTCTGACTGGTGCCCTATGGCCCTCTTTAAAAAATGCGTTTCTATCCCTGCTTTCTTATATAGCAAATTACAGAGATGTGTGTCAACAAGCAACAGATCATACTGACTACCCAAGAGGATATATATGTTACTTAAATACAAATATATGACATATGTATCTCCTTGTTTTGGTAACATCATGTTGACAATATATTTCCCTTACAAGCATCTACTATCCAGCTTTAGCTTTATATCCTGATTTTCATTCAACAGTACTCAAAGGCAATTATCTTCCCTCACACATAAATTTCGCTTTCTGATTGGCTGAGCGCTCTTCTATTATTTCAATGTACCCCGCTTACAAGCGAGTAACATTTTCTATGTACCCCGCTGGGAATGCTGAACTCATTTGGTACTTCGTAGTAGTAATTCTTTATCTCAAATAACATTGAATCACGTATGATGTACGGAAATGACCGATGTTGTGCGAATGCAAATCGATGGAAGGAAGATAACTCTACATTTGTTTTTCTTGTCGTCTTGTCGTCTGGTACTCCATACTACGATCAGATACACGTGCTTCAAACAGTTCCAAAATACCATTGAGGTGTTCGGTAATATATATATGTTGTTCACTGGTCCCTCGGGGCTCATGGGCTGATGTACCCCTCGATGTTTCTTTATGTTCCCCTTGCCCTTTGGGCTCAGGGAACATAAACAAACATCGAGGGTACATCAGCCCATGCCCCCCTCGAGACCAGTGAACAACTTATAATGTATTTATCTATATTTTACAACACATATAACAGATCATACTTATGTACAATATTAATAAATATTAACGTACACATGCGCCATCATACAAACATATCAGTAATAATTGCAACATTTTACAATGCAGCTATTTATTGATGGAAAGAGCAAACAATGATTGACTTTATTTATTTTTGTGTGAGAAATAGATATTAACAGCAAGGAAACATGTAAAGCTGGGTCTGAAAATAAAACATGAACTATGACTATTATGATCATCTGTTCATTGTGAAGGCAAACTGCTGTAGACACTGCAAGTCAGTACATAGTAAACCATTTGGTGTTTTCAGCACTTAACATAGTCAAAATAGACATTGAAAGTACCCTTGAATATGTAGTTAAACTAGTATAGCCTCTTTTGTGTCTCAAAAGACAACATTTTCTTTTATTCAAAATGTTTAAAATGCTCCAATATCGCAATACTCAAGGAATTGTGTCGTGTCTGAAAGCGTCTCAGGTGGCCACTTGCAAATGGCCATTACTGCATTTTGTGAAGAATCATTACCTTTATATAACTCGTATTATACACATACAGTACAACGTCGCTCCATGAGCGGTACGATTTCATGTATCTTTACACGGCGTTAACCACAAATAAATACTCACTTGACGTACCGAGCACAACAGGCGACCTTGCACCCATCGAACAAACCGAAACATGAGTCTCATTAACCAATTCAGACAATGACCTACTTTTCAGCTGATCCGAAGTTTCTCGTGTGAAAGTGAAGAGAGATAGCAAAAACAACTATGGTTACACTGAATTTCAATCAATAATAATAATAATAGTGGATATTTGTAAAGCGCCAGTGTCCACCCACTCATGCATGCTCATGGCACATTAAATCTATTTACAGAAGAAGGGAAAAATGTCAATTATAGGCTTTAGTAAACAGGAATGTCTTTAGGGCCTTCTTAAAAGAGTCCAGGGTCGGGGCGAGTTTGATTTGGAGCGGTAGAGAGTTCCATAAGAGAGGCGGGACATGTAGAAAACTCCTCTTTCCAAAAGAGGTGAGCCGAGCTTGAGTTACTTTGAGGAGCTGTTTATCCTGGGAAAGTAGAGTTCTGGAAGGCACATACTGGGTTAGGAGAGATGAGAGATATGTAGGGGCAAGGTTGTTGAGACACTTAAAGACTGTACACAGAACTTTGAAGTCAACTCGGTATTGAACATGAAGCCAGTGCAAAGACTTTATCACAGGGGTTATATGATCATATTTAGAACTCAAAGATATAATTCTAGCGGCTGTATTCTGCACTTTCTTGAGTTTTTGCATGTGTTCTTTGGATATTCCAGTGAGAAGGCTATTGCAGTAGTCTAGGCTGGAAGACACAAGACATCTGACCAGGATATGTGTACTCTCTTTAGTGATGTATTTTCGGATGGTACCAATGGAACGAATGTGAAAGTAACATGTCTTACACAGATGATCCACTTGAGCAGACATGGAAAGGTCCCACTGTAGCTGTACTCCAAGATCTTTTTAACTTGTCGTGATGGGGAGATACAGGCAGAACCTCATCATCTACCTTGTCGATGTGCTGTTGTCTTCCGACAAATAATACCTCTTTTTTGTCGTCATTTAACTTTAGTTTTCTTTCGGTCATCCAAGACTTAATTTCAGAAGTACAGTTTTCAATTTTCAATTCCTTGTTTCATAAGAAAATGGTATTTACAAGTTAATTTTACACTTTAGTAACATCGTATTTCTATAGTTTATGGTGAGGTGTAGGCAGCATGATCTTAACTTAAACATCACAGACTGCCCCTGTTTGATGAGATCGTAAAATGATTCACAAATCATCTGGCTCACTGGTTACACCTGATATGTGTTTTTTGCTCTTATTCAGTGTAGTTTTATAACACACGATGTGATTGATATCATGAGTGCACTGGCGATGAAGTGTCTCACTCCGAGTGTGTGTGATCTGTAGGTACGGGGGCTAGTAATATAGTTATCTTTCCATAAACGCTTTTGCTCATGTTTAACATAGTTGTTCATTCCGGAATATTTGTGCAGATTAATTAAGTATTTCAACGTGTGGTGAGGTTTAAAATATCTACATTTAGGTCTACCAGTTTTGACGAAAAACGGTTATTCCATTTTTTACGATTAGTAGCAGCAAGAAAACATGATTATTTAAACGATCAGGGATATTTCTAAAACAACACCCTTGTCTAAGTATGTGGAACCATGGTTTCAGAAGATGGCTGATGTTGTAGGACTCCTACACTGACGTTGTTCCTGTTAAGCATTACTACAGGTCCGCAGTGTGCTCTCCTATTTAACTCTTGCTTGACAAGGAATTAGACCAACGTCGCATCACAATAGAATATAGAGCTTGTTGTCACAGATTTTACCTCCTGCCTTTACTGGTGAAATTATAAAGTTCTAACGCTTGCACATACATGTAGATCTATATGCTTTTAACCCCAACATCTACATATATGAATGCATGAGATTTGTTTTACATACTCTAGGGAGCATTTATCAGCAGGTAAAACCTAATGTGGTCAACTATTTTCTGATAATCAGTCCATAACATTAAGTAAAATACTGTTTCCTTGATTGCCAAGATAACTGTTGTCGACGATGGCTACAGAGAACATTCGCCAGCAACACCAGGAGCTGACCAGCGGTATCACTCTGGACGTTGTGGGCGCCAGTCCGGATGGACGCAAAGCAGGGGATGGAACTCAAGCTGACCCTAAGTCTACCAGAGGGCAGTGGTCAAGCCGACTGGACTATATCATGTCCATGATAGGCTACTGTGTTGGGTTTGGAAATTTGTGGAGATTTCCATACATCTGCAACAGGAATGGCGGAGGTACGTGGCACCTTTATTTGGTTCAATCAGACATGATATCTTGTAGAACGTATCATATCTCACCTTCAATGTATCAGTGGAGGACGCATCCTGCAAACATTTCACAGTGTGAACAATTGTAAGTTGTTGGAATTCATCTGTAATCTCTGGCTATGAATACACAATGCCATTCGGTGGTCAAGTGTAACATATAACGTATGGGATCACACTTTCTCAGTGAAAAAAATAATTCGAGTATTTGGGGTTCAGTCCCAGTCTGGATTCAAAAGGTGTTTGACACAGGTTACGTCATTTTTATACAGGCCATGAGCCAAAGTATGACCAAAAATTAATCATCAAACAACAGGTCAAAATATGTGATTAAAAAGGCTTATGTGAGTACATATAATAGGCCCTACTACACAACCTGTTGTCCTCACAGATGGTCAGTAGTTGCCACAATTGAATGTCTTCAATGAGACATGCACTTTTATGTGATTCAAAAACCACAGTTGGGACAATATACCTTCTGGGAATTCAGACTTGATCGTTGAAAGACAAGCCTAGCTAACCTTTAATGTCCTTCGCTTTTTCCGAAATTTACTCGGAACACTGTCACGTAACAATCTCACAATAACGCAACGGTTTCACCATGTAAACAGCATTGCATTTCTCGCATGTGTATTTACAAAGATATGTTTTGTGCAGATTTGACGTGTAATGTACCTCTTCCTATATAACAGATGTGTATCTATGCAAATACGTTGTTCCCATGTATATAGTTATGTACAAGTGGCATATCATTGAAACAGTTAACATTCTATACTTTCTCTGAATCCCTAACGTAGTGTCCGTCCATAGTCATAAAGACTTCCTAATTCCCCTGAACAGGTGCTTTCGTGATTCCATTCATGATATTCCTCATCATCACGGGTCTCCCGATGTTCTACCTTGAAGCAGCTCTGGGACAGTTCTCTGGGAAAGGGGCGGTCCAAGTGTGGAACTTCTGCCCTCTCTTCAAAGGTGGGAACGTTTCTGTAATTTACAACGCCTCAATCAGTTACAACAGTCATTAACATATCAGAAACAGTATAGTTTGAACAATAGTAAATATGGGCGAATTCCATAAAGGTCAGGTCTATCCTGACGAATCTGCCAATTTCAACTGTGGTGCCCGTGTGCAGAATATGCTGGTGATTAACAAAAATACGTTAATAATCCTTACTTTACAAATGGTGAACGTGCAATGGGCATGCTCCAGACTGGTCTCTGTGCCTGTTGCACGTGCCATGAGATGCAGTTGACGGACAATTCACATCACGCCATTCATCTGATCGCCCCAGGTCAGCACGGCCACGTGTGACGTCACGTGCCGTCTAACCTCCATTCCGACGATATATCAAATTCCTATAGAAGGAGACACATTGCTGGTCCATGAAATAGACAACCAAATTATATCTCAAGGATGATACTCAACACATTCAAGAAAGAAGATTTTATGTACACAGTAGGAACACGAGACAAATTAAACTTATGCCTGTTTTACTAAAATGTCTAAGAAATCTCAGGTCTACGTCCCAGACCCATATTCCCAAATTCTGATGAAAAAATATATTTTAACTTTGTGCACCATTATCACACACAATAACCCTTATCAAAATATCTGTCATGATCCCGAGTACATAAATGTATTCACATATAAATCTTCCGAAGTTTAGGACTCTTTGCCCAAAATGAAACAGATGTGTCATGTGAATGTCGCCTAGATGCGATCTGAAGCTGCAGGTATATCGATATATGAATTACACCATCTGATGTGTCTCATACTTAGCTCTGTGAAGATTGAAAGTGACAAGATCTATGAGGGTAGGAAACCATTTAGCGAACATCTGGTATCATCAGTATTTGCTAGTGATTCATAAACACATGCTATAACATCGTAACTCATGATATCAATCACTGGATTGACTGGTCCAGACTCGATTATTAACAGACCACCGCCATACAGCTGTAATATTGCTGAGCGCAGGGTTAAACAAACCAACAAACCAACACATGCTCATAATATATTTGGAATGGTACAACCAGCAGCGCTTTTGGCAGGGATCGCTATTTAACTATGAGGCCATCAACGTACGTGAAACGTTACACTGTCTTTCTTTCCAAGTAATGGTATGCGTGAATCTTGATCCTGTCTTCCTCCCCAGGTATTGCCACACGTGACTGTTGACTGTCTGTTCCTCCCCCTGGTATTGCCACACGTGACTGTTTACTCTCTGTTCCTCCAGGTATTGCCACACGTGACTGTTGAATCTCTGTTCCTCCCCAGGTATTGGCATTGGTTGTATAGTCCAGGTCGCCATCTGTCTGCCCTACTACAACATCCTGCTGGCGTGGCCCATCTACTACCTGGTGCGATCCTGCACCACCGTCCTGCCCTGGACAACGTGTGGCAACTGGTGGAACACGGACCTTTGTGTAGAGGACATCTCCCTTCTCAGAAACATGTCCACGAACTCCTCTCACATGATCACATCCCAGTCTGCCGCCAATGGCACCGACACCAACACTGCCGCACTGTGGAGGAACACGACTTTGGCTCACACGGCTGTGGAGGAGTTCTATCAGTCAGTATAAGAGTGACTTGCTTGGCAATTCGAATGTAGCTATCTAAATGTTCAGTAAGAATATCGTATGACAATATGACATGAACATACAGCATATGTATATACTGTTACTGTGACATCTTTTACAAAAAGACTACTTGTTGATAGTAGGATATTCCATCTGAACATACATAAATACATGCAATTATATCATGTTTCTCAAGTAGCCATCTGCTTAATATACCATCACTGAATAAATATACTTTGATTTTATGACATTTCTTTTAGGTACAATGTTCTCCGTATTTCAAATGGAATACATGAAGTTGGCTCAGTTCAGTGGCACTTGGTGGGATGTCTCTTTGCTTCTTATGTCATTATTTTCCTGTGCCTGTTTCGTGGAGTGAAAGCTACTGGGAAGGTGAGGCAATACAACTGGAGTGAGTGAGAGAGGAAGAAGGAAGGAAGAGGGGGTCAAATTACGTTTGCAAACAACATTATTTGGAATATTTACATTTCTGAATCGTGTAAGGTGACCAGTGGATCTAAAATGAAATGACAACGACATGGCCCCTAGATGTGATTCAGATGGGATGTAAGAAGAGCTGTTCTGTGTTCCAGATAGTGTACGTGACTGCCCTGCTGCCCTACATTCTCCTGACCACGATCCTGATTAGATGTCTGATGCTGCCAGGCTCTTCTGATGGCATCGCGTATTACATGAAACCAGATTTCAGCAGACTGCTTGACATTCAGGTACTTTCCTCTTGGGCAGCAAATGGTCATCTTTTTCTTGTCATTCACCACCATGTTTATGACGGGTGTCACCGGAAGGGAAGGACACGATTATCTTTTCGCGAACCTCTGATCTTGCCACAATTTGATAGTGATTCATAAACACATGCTCATGATATTGCCTGAAGCTTACATTTGTCTGTGCTAACGATTTCTTATGAACGTGGAACGGGTTCTGGTGTTTAGTGGTATTAGACAACACCCAGTTGTCATAAATGGCATTACAGATACATTTCTTGCTAAAAGTCTTCTTGGGTGTATAAATGTTTGAGATATACTTTTCTTTTGAGACTATTTTATACAAAACAATCCTTTGTTCTTTATATCTGTTTGTCAGTATGCTTGTGGATACATGGGATCCCGACTTGATGTCGTTAATTGATTGATGCAAACAACATATGTTATCTTAAAACACAAGTATGTACTGCCTTGGGAATCTAGTGTATTACTTGCTGCTGGAGAATGAATGTGTCGGTTGATGTGCAATGTGTAGTTCACAGTGCTGTATACATCAAAGTATTTGTGGGAAGGTGGAAAGAGAATGTTTACAGTGATACGGAACAGTCATTTTCAATGTGAAAAACGTTATTCAGATCGCGGGACATGTGATGTAATTTGAGGTCACTATAAAATAAAGACCAGGTATACTATAAAGTGGTGGTATGTTGTATCTGTGATATTTCAGCTGAGCTCTTTTGCAATGATATTACACCGTGTCTGTTGGGATTCATTAGATGTTCATATCACTGTTTCTTAAGAATTATTAGTTGTCAGGAATGTATCACTATCTACTGGAAGCAGTGGTGCAGGATGTAGTATACCTTCAGCAAGGCATTCGGATTATGTATGTGGACAAGTATGTATGCCTCAATCATTACAGATTACATGTTTGCATCCCATACATCAAGTCTATAACCCTTTCCCCGTCCATAAGAAATCAGGGTACGTAAGTCCCAAAACTTTCAAAATTAACTTTTTGCTTACCCGATTTTTAAACGTAGTATATTTGTTCATTTAAATTTTAGCTAAACTTGTCCTACAATCGCCAGCTGCTGAAGGGATGGTGTAAATCCAACTAGGGATGGTGTAAATCCAACTAGGGTCCATGCAGGTAGCAAAGGCCAAATTACCTTGTTTTGAGCTTCTGTGCTGCTGGGTGAATGTCATTTTCACTGACTTTATTGCTTTTGTCACAATTCTTGTATTTTATACTGTCATTGGAATTCCGCTGCCATTTTGTTGCAGTTATGTGTATTGGTATATAACGAATTGTTCATTGTTTAACATGTCCTAATTAATTGTTGGCGTCACTGGCTTTACGCTGAATTCTACTGGGTGTAGATTTGTGTGTTAACTTAATGCTATATACCTATTGTCCAGGTGTGGACAGAAGCTTGTCTTCAGGTGTTTTACAGCCTGGGCCCTGGATGGGGCATCATAGTGACAACATCCAGCTACAACAAGTTCACTGAACCCACGTTACGGTAAGAGGGACTTCAGGTGATACATCTATCGACATAGGTCAGTGAAATGCCTGCCTAATATGGATTGCATTTCCAGTAAAATGTATTAATCAGCATGGAGTCAAGGGTACTCTATGTGTTATCATCACAAAAGTGTAAGGTTGGGAAACTCGTAGTGTCGTACTTGGACATAGCTGAGATATATTTCATCGATTCTAGTTCTGCTGTGGAATCCAAATACAGTGGAAGCTGTCTAAACCGGCACACATTGGGACCGATAAATAATCCGGTTTAGACATCGTGCCGGATTGTAGAGCTTGCACGGTTACCTATGACTAGAACTGAACCAGGTTTGTCATTCTCATATACATTGTTGTATTACGTGGTTCTCTCAATTTCTCTCTCAACACACTAATTACATGTACAAGTATAGCCATACTGTACTAAGATTAAATTATCTTTGTCAGCAACCATGTAGTTTCAACGCACGATTAATTGGTGACAAAACATATACCGCCGACCATGCGCCGGATTAGTATCAACACACCAGTTCACCAATTTAGAAATAGTGCATCTTTTAAAGAACTACTGATCAATGGGACGGACAGACGGCACCTATCGCTATTCCCCAGCTAACGTATGAGTGTGTGTGCGTGTGTGTGTGTGCGCGCGTTTTGTACGTATATCTCTGTTTCTCTCTCCCACTCTCTCTCTCTCTCTCCCTCTGTGTGTGTGTGTGTATTTGTAGCAGATTTAATTACCTTGAGAGAATGATACTAAACGTTCAATGTATTTTATACTTTCAGCGACAGCATTATTCTGTGCGTTGCATCGGAGGGCACGAGCATATTTGCTGGCTTTGTCACCTTCTCTATCCTGGGAGTGATGGCCGAGAGAGTGGGTGTGTCAGTCACGGAGGTCGTGTCATCAGGTGAGGCAATCCGTGATGCAAGTATGTGGGGAATCACTGTGGCATTTCTGTTACAAGACAAGTGCAGTGCTAGATTTATAACATCCGTAAACATTAACAGCGCTATATCACCCCACTCTTCTTTTAAACATACACCATGCATTTCAGGGAAGCCAGCATATAATGTATTCCAAATATTACGTATTAAGATTACGATATTAAATTAAAGAGTTCCAATGAATTAATGCAACATTGCATTAACTCGACTGTCGCGCCCTCTTCTGGCCGAACATTACTTCAAGCGAACGCCATAGAGTTATGTCCCTTTGAACGATCTTTGGGAATAGCCTACGCACAACTTGTGATTGAAACCAGTTCGGCAAACACCGACAAACCGCGTGCGACAGTTTTCGATGTTTGTTTATATTTGTTTACATTCCATATATGGCAAGTGTTCTCTGTTTGAAAGCTGTTCGCCTCGAAGTTTCAATAATCGATGTCAGGTAAGTCGTAAGGGATAATAAGTCTTTAATTGCATCAGTAGGAAGGTAAAGTGAGTGCATAGGTCCCAATATAATTATATACGCCAAAATATTGTCGACAATGTGTGACATTGTGTCTTTAGCTGAAGGTATTACAAAACATGTCTCTGAAAACAGGTCCAGGATTGGGTTTTGTTGCTTACCCAGAAGCCCTGTCTCAACTTCCGCTTCCTCAGATGTGGTCGTTTCTGTTTTTCTTGATGTTGCTGACCATTGGATTAGACTCTCAGGTGAGACTTTAAAGGTTACAATTATAATGTGCAAGATAATGCAATTTCTGTGTATGGGTCGAACGAAAAGTTTCATCTGGAATTAGCTTATGAGCATTAGATAACATTTGTCTAAAAACTAAAACCTCAAAAAAGTGTTGAAGAACAGGTCTTAACCAATCATCTTACGCCTATAGTTGCACATTGTGTTTTAGTTTCTGTTCGCGGAGATCGTGTCTACGGCCCTCATTGACCAGTTTCCGAGGACACTTGGGAAGCGGAGAGGTTTGGTGACAGCAGCTTTGTGTGGCGTTGCCTTTCTGTTGGGTGTCATTATATGTACACAGGTAATTCATACACAGCATAGGTAATTGGTATCAGATAGAAACACAGTTCCAGTTATCCATCTCATGGAGACTTCAAGATGTTGAAAGGATACTGTATTCTCAAGCAATAAAACGACTCATCCTTAAAACATAACCATTTGACATCGAGATGACCTTCGTATGGTCTCATTTCAAATCCAGCTGATATCGAGATCACCTTGGTATGGTCTCACTTTCAGGGTGGGATCTACATCATGCAGCTCCTGGACTGGTATCTGGTGTCTCTGTCGTTGTTCCTGTTCTGTACCCTGGAGTGTGTGGCCACGGTCTGGTTCTACGGTGAGAGTAGTGGTAACCGCCCAACGTCTAGATCGCTTGTGTACTACACACCACACCACATGTAACTGTCTACACACCAGTTGTAAATGTCGGAGGTTTACCAGTTGCAATGGTATCCAGGGCATGTTTCAATAACATATAATTGTGTGAGTGTTTGCACAGTGTAGGTAGCTACAGCATGTTTCAATGATATATAATTGTGTGAGTGTTTGCACAGTGCAGGTAGCTACGGCATGTTTCAATGATATATAATTGTGTGAGTGTTTGCACAGTGCAGGTAGCTACAGCATGTTTCAATGATATATAATTGTGTGAGTGTTTGCACAGTGCAGGTAGCTACAACATGTTTCAATGATATTAAATTGTGTGAGTGTTTGCACAGTGTAGGTAGCTACAGCATGTTTCAATGATATATAATTGTGTGAGTGTTTGCACCGTGAAGGTAGCTACAGCATGTTTCAATAACATATAATTGTGTGAGTGTTTGCACAGTGTAGGTAACTACAGCATGTTTCAATGATATATAATTGTGTGAGTGTTTGCACAGTGCAGGTAGCTACAGCATGTTTCAATGATATATAATTGTGTGAGTGTTTGCACAGTGCAGGTAGCTACAGCATGTTTCAATGATATATAATTGTGTGAGTGTTTGCACAGTGCAGGTAGCTACAGCATGTTTCAATGATATATAATTGTGTGAGTGTTTGCACAGTGCAGGTAGCTACAGCATGTTTCAATGATATATAATTGTGTGAGTGTTTGCACAGTGCAGGTAGCTACAGCATGTTTCAATGATATATAATTGTGTGAGTGTTTGCACAGTGCAGGTAGCTACAGCATGTTTCAATGATGATATATAATTGTGTGAGTGTTTGCAGCAGTGATAGGTAGCTACAGCATGTTTCAATGATATATAATTGTGTGAGTGTTTGCACAGTGCAGGTAGCTACAGCATGTTTCAATGATATATAATTGTGTGAGTGTTTGCACAGTGCAGGTAGCTACAGCATGTTTCAATGATATATAATTGTGTGAGTGTTTGCACAGTGCAGGTAGCTACAGCATGTTTCAATGATATATAATTGTGTGAGTGTTTGCACAGTGCAGGTAGCTACAGCATGTTTCAATGATATATAATTGTGTGAGTGTTTGCACAGTGCAGGTAGCTACAGCATGTTTCAATGATATATAATTGTGTGAGTGTTTGCACAGTGCAGGTAGCTACAGCATGTTTCAATGATATATAATTGTGTGAGTGTTTGCACAGTGCAGGTAGCTACAGCATGTTTCAATGATATATAATTGTGTGAGTGTTTGCACAGTGCAGGTAGCTACAGCATGTTTCAATGATATATAATTGTGTGAGTGTTTGCACAGTGTAGGTAGCTACAGCATGTTTCAATGATATATAATAGTGTGAGTGTTTGCACAGTGTAGGTAGCTACAGCATGTTTCAATGATATATAATTGTGTGAGTGTTTGCACAGTGTAGGTAGCTACAGCATGTTTCAATGATATATAATTGTGTGAGTGTTTGCACAGTGCAGGTAGCTACAGCATGTTTCATTGATATATAATTGTCTGAGTGTTATCACCCTACAGGAATCCAGCAGTTGAGTGAAGACATCCAGCTGATGTCCGGACGCCCGTTACCTGTCCTGGTGAAAGTCCTGTGGGGATTCGTCACACCTGGAATACTTCTGGTATAGTTTAGGTGCCTTGTTGCATCAAACACGCTGATGTGATTCATGCGTTTATACGTACTATGGCATACATTATTTCACGTGCACATGAACAAGACTGTCAAGCCACTTGAACAACATTAAACAACAGTATTGGTATCTCCATTGTGACATACGCAAACACTTGGTGGTCTGTTATACACAGTGACTGGCACACATACATTGAATATAGTAAACAAATATGTTAAATATGGTCATTGTGATTTTGAACCTCTGATTGAACGGGCAAGATCGTAAACATTTTACATTTACATTATATGATAACTGTATGAGGATTGTTGGCAAACCTTTTTCGACATACATCATGGAGTAAATCTGGTGGAACTTTAGTATCAACATCACAGACGTGACTGTGTTATCATACGTGGCTGGAATATAACTATTGGTGATTTCATTCCTTGACCCCTAGATTGTGTTCTTCATGACGCTGGCCAACTACAAGTCCCCATCATATGGGAAGTACACCTACCCGGTCTCGGCAGTGTGGATTGGGTGGATTATAGCACTGATGCCTCTCCTCCCCATCCCCGTCATGATGGTCACAACATTTCACGGACAGGAAGGGTCACTCAAGCAGGTCAGCAGCTGGGTGAAAACTTGTACAGAAGCACCGAGTGTCAGTTAATACTTTAATACATTGTTACGGATCAGACATTACCGTGACAAAAGTCTTTTGAGTCCCCTTTAAATCAGCAATATAAAACACAGACAAGCCCATGATATTCAATACTATATACACTAAACAATAAACAAGGTTACAATGAATGTAAGTACAGATTTCCAATACAATACAATTGAGTCACAAATCTTAAATATTGGGTCACAATAATAACTCACCAAAGTACTGATATCCCCAGTAAAGAACGGATGCACGGATTGAAGGCTGTTGACAGCTGTTGAAAGTTCAGTATTGACGAGGCCAGTTGAACGGTTGGTCTTGAAACGCTGATGTTAACAGACAGACGAGCGTAAATCCAACGCGCCACGTGAGAATCAGGTAGAAATTACTCACAGCTTCTCGCAATCCGACCAGAAGCAAAGCAAACAAAGGGTAGGTAACTCCCAAGCCCACTCTCAACAGGTGACAATACATAGCCTAAGTTCAAGTTGTAAGTTCAAATCCACACTCAGCGCTTAAAACTTTTGTGACCCATAATACCTAAAAGTTGATTAGTGTGACATTTTAATTTACAAAAACACATCCTCATGATGACATTTTTGTCATTAAGAGTGTTCCTGTTTTGTCATCACTTTCATACCAAAGAAAACACACATGCCGTTTCTCCCCTGAAGAAAAAACACCCGAGAATATTGTTCCTTTATTCATGCAGCATATATATGTTTTACAAGACTCCAAGTTAAGTATCGTGTTTTCCGTTGCAGAGGCTGCTGTCGCTGGTCCGACCTGACAGGACATGGTGCCCAGCAGATGCCTCCACCACAACCAAGTACAGGGCTAATCACACCAGGAGGACATTTGCAGAAACTTTCACATATATTTTCAAACCTGGAAGGAGTTTTGAGGGAACTCGATACTAATACATATGTTCGGATAGAGACAAAGTCCAAGGTGTATTAAATGTAACTACACACTAATATGGTTTTGAAAATAAACATATACAATTACTTTCACATACCTTTTAAAGGAAAGAAAATGACCATTTCCCTAAAAGGAACGTAGACCACGACCACAGCATCAAGGTGATCTTAAAATGTATCAAGCCTATGCGTCACCGTGAAGTGATGCCATGTCACAAGTCTGGTGCCATTTCTGTATCATGCATATCAGCTACCATATTTTAATACACGTAACACGTCCCACTCTAATCATGGCAATCTATCTGTCAAAGTCTTCGCACTGTAGTCGATTTCAGCGGAAAGTGTTTGCAAAATACATTCGTCGGGTATGTATTAAGGAGGGAAAAAACGGCTTGTTTTACGAAAACTCTAATTGTAGGCCATTAACCCCATGGGCGCACGCCTTTAATTTGCTGAATAGAAAATAGGGGCATAACCTTTCCTCAGTCAATCACACTCTTATGCTTTAAAATATGCTATATTTGGGATTACACGTCCTCAGTAAAGTACAGTAAATCTTTAGATTGAGTCCTATCCAGGATTCGAGCGCACACCCACAGTGTGAGGAACATGCACATGTGAAAAGGGCGAAAAGGGGATATTATTTCAATGAGTGAATTATGCATCTTTATTCATAATATCATCAAACAGTTTTATGCACCATGGAATTGGGGCATACTCTGCTCTTAATGTGTCACATACGGATTCCTATGTTTTGAACGTGTTTTATTTTATGAGTGTTTTGGGTCGGTCCACGATAACCTTTGAGGAGGCGACCATTTCTCAACAATACTAACAACTATCAGTTCCGTTGATGAAACACCCACTAGTCACACCTTTATGAAGGCCAGTTGGTTTGTAAACAAACGTGGTGCATGACAGCAAGATACACCTACAGGTTCAGGACATTTTATCATAAATAAAAGCAAACATAATTTGAAGTTTACTATAAAAAAACAAACACTATGTGAAATACTTGACTTACCCATTGATAATATCTTTGTAAAATGAAAGCCGGTAAAACCTTCCGACAAGAAGTCTGCATCCGAAAGGGCACCGATTGTGCGAATCTGGTTCTTTGTGCACATGAATCAGAGTTTCTGCTCGGGTTGGCAAAATCAATACAGGGTAATATGGTCAAGAAGTTTAACTTCAGTTATATCTTTCAATTTCCATCAAATAGGAAACTCACCTTTACTGTTGTACTCACATGAACTTGAAATCGGGGAAACAACTGGGACCGCCTCAACAGTTTCAGTTTTAGATCA